ATGGTCGAGACAGCATCGGTACTTCTCATGATAAATACACTCACCGGCAGAATTAACCGCCCACCCAATGTTTTGTTATTTAGTTGGAGATATTTGTAATTTTGATTTTTTTTTACTTTTTAATGTCTAAGTACATCTTGAAAAAGCAAACAAATACCAATCAAATGAAAGTTTTTGTTTAATTTTAGAAATTAAAAGAAAAACAGTTTTTGAAAATTTTGAACTTTTTGAATAAGATGAGCAATACATGAAATTTATCGACAAAAAAGTATTGTTATTAAGAAAATTCACTTTAGTAACGAGTGATAGCCCCTCTTGCCCTGATCACATCACTAAGTCTGCGTGGAATGGTATATATGATGGCTTGAATCTCAGCTTGTGGGATGTTTTCCCATTCTTCCACCGCAGCAGTTTTCAGCTCTCGAATAGTGGTTGGAGCTGGTCTTCGTGCTCGAATCCGTTTTTTTAGGTTGTCCCAAATGTGTTCAATTGGATTGAGGTCTGGACTCTGTGCTGGTCATGGCAAAGTTCTGATGCTAACTTCGTTAAGGTATTGCGTAACCACTCGAGCGACATGACATCGTGCGTTGTCTTGCTGAAGAACAAAGTCCTCGCCAATATATGGTGCAAAAGGAATTACATGTTCTTGAAGAACTTCTTGAACATACCTGTGAGCATCTTCACCGCCTCTAGAAAAAATTACCAGATCCGTACGAGCCTCGTAAAAAATTCCACCCCATATCATTATTGAGCCTCCTTGATAACCCACAGTTTCCATAAGAACACAAGGAGCAAACCGCTCTGTCGTGTGTCTATATACACGCTGACGGCCATCTGGACATTTTAAAGCAATGCTGCTCTCGTCAGAGAATAAAACATTCTTCCACTGATCCATATTCCACATACTGTATTCACGCCCAAACCGGAGTATAGCTGTTTTGTGATGCGGGCGAAGCTGAGGGGCTCGGTAAGGGCGTCTCGCTATAACATTGCTTTCTGCCAACCTCCTTCTTATGGTTCTCTGGCTGACCTCCACATTTCTAACCTCAGCAAGACGAGTACGGGCTTCAACAGCGGTACAGAACCGATCTCTTAAAATCGTCCCTCATTGAAGTGCAGCGATGGCGGCCCTGACCAGGCCTTCTGGTGTAAGAACCTGTCTCTCGAAGACGCTTTATGGCATCTTTGACTGTTTCACGAGCAGCACCAAGTATTTCAGCAATACGACGTTGACTACAACCTTCATCAGATAGAACTACAGCCTTGGCTACTGATTCTGCTCCCAATGGCATTGTTTTGAATAAAACTGTTTTGAACTTAACTTAAACCGATATATAAAATAAATAAACAAGTCTAATTAAGTCTAATAAAGAAAAAAATTGTAAATACACTATCATTAAACAAGCCAAATTGGAACCAAATTACTAAAAAGCGAAAGAATGACAGTACTGACAGTTAAACATTTATTTACTGTCAAAATGTCACGTCATATCAATTAATTTTAAAAAGTGATGAAAATCTCCGAAAATTTTAGAAATAAATAAAAATAATTGGGTGGGTGGTTAATTCTGCCGGTGAGTGTATTTCCGGCCATTTTGAGAAGTGGTCAATAATCAACAGAATCATTTTACCATTAATTGGACCTGCAAAGTCTGCATGAATTCTGTCAAAAAAATAATTTGACTTTACACAAGTGAATAATACAGATTTTTTTTGGTTTGGGCCTGGAAGTCATACAAATATAACAGTTTACCACAACTTCTTCAATGTCTAAATCAAGGGATGGCCACCAAAAATAAGCCCTTGCATTGGCTTTCATTTTACTGATACCTTCATGGGTACTGTGAAGTTCCAACAATAATTGATTTCTTAATTTCACTGGCACCACTAATCTGTAGCCCCATAAAATTACTCCATCATTTATATGAAGTTCATGTTTTCTGATTTAAAATGGTTTTAATAAGACATTCTCCATTTTATCAGGAAACCCAACACGAATAAAATTAAAAATTTGCCCTATAATCGTGTCACGCCTTGTTTCAGCTCTAAGTTTATTTGAATCAATCGGAGCAATGTTTTCTAAAAAGTTAAGATTTTCTAAAAACATTAAATAATCTTTCTCTTCGCTTCCTAAACTTTCATTGTAAGGTAATGGCAAACGACTTAATGCATAAGCCTTGAAATTATCCCTACTTTTGATGTATTTAATGGAATAAAATTGAACCCTGCGATGTAATCTAGCAGCAGCTATTTTTGGAAAACTTTTAAATTCACCAAACAATGTTTTTAATGGTTTGTGATCTGTTAAAATTTCGAATTTCCTACCAGCTATATATTCATAAAACTTAACTGTTGCCCAATAAATACACAATGCTTCTTTATTAAGCATGCTATAATTCCTCTCTGCTTTGGACAATACTCTTGAAATAAAGCTAAATGGGTAAAGTACCAATGTAGGTGCCTGTTGACCATTTTCTCAAGAATTTTACACAGTGTGCAGGTAAGAGAAATTGGCCTAAAGGAATTTGGAAGATTAGTATTCGAGTCGTTCTTTTTGATTAGTATGATGATTGATTATCTCCATGAATTGTTGGCTGCACCATTTTTATTATAAAGTTCTAGCATTTTAGTTTTTGTTGCTGGATGTAAGTGTTTTAGAAATATCATAGGTATATCGCCCGGTCCTGCAGCTGTGTTCTTTAGTGAAAGTAGGACTGAATTTAATTCGGAGAAAGTGAAAAGAAAATTGAGGGGATGACAGTTGTAGGAAATTTGTTCAGGATTTAAGTAGGCGAGGTATCAGAGGTTATTGTACTTGTGAATGTGTTCCACGACTCTCGTTTACTTTGTTTTAAAGACCTTTTTGATTTCGCTCTCATTTTTTTGAGGTTTATCAAGTCTGAGTTATTTCTGGTTCTTCGGTATTTATTAAGCGCCTTTTTGCACTCCTTCACTGCAATGTTACAGGATTCATTCCACCAGGGAACGGTTCGTTTTGAAGGGTTGGCCGAGTACTTTCCCATACATTTATTGGCTGTAGAAATTTTATTCGAATAGTTGATATTGACTGTATTTTCCTTTAGCGTTTGGCTGTAGAGATTCCAATTTGCTTTTGCGATTTTCCACTTTCCTTTAATGTTAACTTGTTTTGGTTCGTTGTCTGGAATTAGGATAGGAAAGTGGTTACTGTCATAGACGCTATCAAGCGTATGCCATGTTAGTAAGGGTGCTGTTCCTGGATCTGAAAAGCTGAGGTCTAATGAGGAGAAGGATCCGGATTGTACGTGGAAGTATATGCTGCTGCCAGTGTTGAGTAGATTACTGTTACAACTGTTGATTATGGTTTCAATCATTTTGCCACGGCCAAATGTACGTTATGAACTCCACATTGTGTTGTGAGCATTAAAGTCACCTACCAAGATAAAAGATAAAGGAAGTTGACTTATGAGACATTATATCGGTGTCTCTTACAGTGTATATATACACTGCAAATTACAATTTTGCTAGGACACCATGCGGTGATGGCAACTGCTTCTAAGTTTGTATTTAAGCGTAGTTCTTGGTGAAAAATATCATCAGAGACAAAAACTGAGGAACCGCCACTAGCACGTAAATAAGTGGTTCTAATGAAATGATAACCAACATACCTTTTTAAAAGAGGGTTCAGAGACTTGGTAAAATTAGTTTCTTGTAAACAGAGGAAGTCTGGCCAGTAATCACATATAAGTTAGTTGTTGTAAGCGTTCCAAACGAGGGTAGAAGCCGTCGCAATTCCACTGTATTAAAGAGAGGGCATGCTGTGAGCAATCGGAACTATAATCTTCATCATTTGGTTCGTTAGACATATCCAAACTCTCAGTTTCTGCAGTGTCGGATTCAAGCTTTTTCTTAATCTTTTTGATTACAGAAGAAGTCGTAAAGATTTTCTATGGGAAGTATGAAGGTATCTGGCGTTTTCTGATATGTTTTTGCTATACATTCTTTTATGGTTATGGTGAGGTTTAATTCAGTGGATACACTCACCTAGCTCTTTTTCTTTGTTGCTTTTAGAGCTGGTGTGAAAAGTGGAACGAATGCAGGGGGAGGCATAACGTCTGTGTTATTTTCTGCGTCAGCGGGTAAACGTGCGTTTTCGCTTTATGTTGAAAGCTGGGAATATCCTCGTTTTTGGACTGGGGTAAGAACTGCAGCAGGTTGATTTTCTTGTAGGATTCTCGGGTCTTCATTTGAATTCACTTCGTTGCTTTCTATTAGGTTTTTTCTGAAGATACCTGTTCAGTTTGTTCAGACAGAGTGGGTTGTGACAGTATGTTGTTAGTTGGAGGATTTGGGCAATTTGAAGCTATGTGTCCGGGTTGCTTGCAAATGAAGCACTCCATTTTATCTGAAGATAGAAAGATTCTGTTTTCGTTGCCGTCAAAAGGGATGATTAATGATGTCTGCAATTCAAAGTTCTCCGAACGTATACTTGTCGTCCAAAACTTAATTAATTTGAATATTCATCACCTGGAATACCAGCTATTAAAAACAAGACAGGGAAGGTTAACTGTAAACCAAGATTTTCTATATCATTTTCAGCGAGATCATGGGGTATATAAGGAGATACGGGTGTCTGCGGATGTTTATAACAATATTGCTGATAGTTACGGATGTATGGGATTTTAAAAGATCGTCAAGGAGATTAGAATTGGCTAAATAGAAACAGATCCTATTATTCGAGATCCTCGAAGCAAAAGAGATATGTTTGGGGCCTACAATATCGCCTATTGCCTTAACATAGTCAAATAACTTTAGGTTATCATCAGCGTGCATCACTATGACTTCATCCTTTTTGGGAAAGATGGTTTAGGTGTTGTCTTAACGGCTGATACGTAACTGTTGCTGGAAACATATACCTATATTGTACACTTAGTAATTTGTTACTGTACCTATTATAAATGTTATTTGAGAAGTTACCAGCCTTATTATTTAAATTTAATAAACATACTCTTTTATTTATACCTAAGTGTCATAATTTTCATCAATAACTTGACATTCTATAAAAATTTAACAAAAAATCTTTTCGATCAAAAATTAGTGTGAAATACCTCGTGCCGATATATTTTTTTGCCATATTCATAGCAAACACCAGGGTCCAGTTATGTAAAAACCAACAATTTGAGATAAGTAAAACATTTTTAGGGAAAATCTTTGTCAAATGCCCACTTCTTAACCTATAATAAATATCGACATTGACCACTGTTAATAGGAACACATACATTATTTTAATATTTAAGGGGTGCAAGTTAACTGGACACTCTTGCGTTCAGTAAACTAAATTAAATTTGGGATACCTACTAAATAAACTGAAATAGATATTTAAACAAAACATTTCTAGTAGTAACTAGAATAACCATCAAATAAGGCGTTGCAATATTATAAAGCTTCATTTCAAATAGAGTCATATATTCAAAACTACTTAAAACAGAAACATAATTATTATGGTTGAACAGGTCTTTAATTTCCACATAAATGTCAATGTCAATTTTTCTCCACATTATTAACTTATTAGTAATGCTATTAAAGCCATTTAAACCCATAAATTATCATTACATTATTAAAGTGGACGATTATGAATTAATTTATGGGTCACATTAGTTAACATTGCAATTTGTATGCGTCTGCCAATGAAACTGTTATATAAATATTGTTCAATTATTATATCTTTATTCCTTCTACGGAAGTCACCTTGATACTGAAACTCTATCACGTATCAGCTAAGAAATCGAAAATTTCTTCACCTTTCTTTCAACAATTAGAAATTACGTTGACAGGTAATTGAATTGTATAAATAATTTTGGTTTCAATGGAGATCATCAGTAGTTTTTTGAGACTCACCCAAACAAATAGAACAAAACATGCATCTTAAAATTGTGAGTATACCTATACAATTCATGACTAGTTTTTAATATATATATACAAGGCGTTGAAAAAGCAAATTGGTATTTTTTAAAAACGCTATACTTCTTAACAAGATACTTTGATTTCCAAGAACAATACTTGCACGCAATATACTCTCTTCATATCTCGACATATATAAGTCGACCTTACTTTCTATAACAGCCTTAGTGAAAGACAAAGGTTAAGCTCACCCCACTTGTAACTAACTGACAACTAGGGTTATCAAGAGCAAAAAGTTTGTTTTAATATTGTCTTTTTGTTTTATTTAAATCTTCATATCTCTCATACATATACGTATTTATTTCTGTTTATCGTTATTAAATCACTCACTTTTAATGAATCGTATGTCCTACGATGTAAATTATTATTAGTTACAGGGTTAGTCAATAATTACTGATTTTTTTTTAATATTTATGTCATTGTTCTTCAAATTAATATCACGCTAAAATGGCTTCAATTTAAATAATCAAAATCACATTTTATACAGGATGAGTCAAAAAGTTAGTAGACCCTTTTTACAGTTGTTAATAAAATTTGATCTATTTTTTATGGCGTATTAATGATAGAATTCAAAACATTTTAAAATATAAATAATTTATACGCCATAAATAGTATGATTCAAAAGAAATTGTTTTTTCCTTTCTTACCATATATTATAAAATTTCGTAGATTAAATTGCGTCTAATTTTATGCTAATAGAGTGTAAAATGATATAAACTTGCTAGACCAGTTTTTGAGATATGTGATATAAAATTCGATAATAACAAATATGAAAAAATACATTCTTTTTTTGACCACCCTAGAGATTGAGTTTTTGGTGCACTTATTGCATGTAATCTATATATGTGAGGTTTCTTTATTGGCTAGACATAGAGAAAATATTCGGTATCTAGCTACACTACTTTTAAATTATACAGGGTGTACCACTAGTGCGTAATTGTTCAATATTTCAATTTGTGTTCTAGACACGCAAACAAGTTACAACTAAAAGTTATATAGGGGAAAGTGTTCCACAATGATACATAAATTACGTTTCGGTAAGTTGCCAGAGGTTATGATTGAATTTTGTAATTTTGTTGTTTCATGCACATAGTTTGACATATTCCTCGTCATTTAACGCAATAAGTTTATCAATATATCGATTTAGAAAATAAATAGGGATTTTTGTCTCATTGTAGAACTGAGACACAACTTTTTAGACCAAAAAAACAATACAAAAAAATAAAAAAAAATATATATATAATAAAGGAAAATAAACATGTTTTTGAAAAAAAAACAGTATCTAAAAAACTTATTTTGCTAGATAGGACAACAAAATATAAATCCAACAAGTAAAAAATAAAATCCTTTAAAATATTAGCGCACATTTAATGAGTTAAAGTTTAGTTCAAAACGTATTAGAACCTGTTGCCTCTTAGTTTTTCCAGTCGTTAAATATGTGGAAAGAATTATTTTGATGTTTTTTTCTTCGATTATACTTATATTTTCTGTTACGGGGTGGAAAAAACAGTAGTTAGACTTGTTACTTTTACGAAGAAATGAAATTTCAAATCCATCTTCTTTTTTATTTAAAATTTTTCCGACATAAAAGATAACAGTTCTTAATTCATCAAATTGAACTAAAACATAGTCCCCAGCGATTGGTTGTCGCTCCAGTGCAAGAAAGTTATCTTTATCCAAGGCATCTTCAATATCACTAGCATCTTCAGAGGAGCCCCTAGTATCTTCCTGACAAGATTCCCTATCAGACTCTTCACTAGAAGATTCTTTAAACACTCTGGTCTTGACGTCATTTAATTTTCCCTGCTTTTTCTCATTTTTATTCCGCCTGCCTCACTTTCTCCTTGGATTTTGCTTTTATTTAATTAAGTTCTGGCGTGTCTGTAGCTATGATACTCTTCTTTTTTCTAGCCCTGTTCTTTTATTTTAATTCTGGTGCTTTCGGATAGTCTTTCAATACTGCCGGCGATATAAATTTTTCAATAATATTAGTCCTTTGGTGAGTTCAGATTCTTAAATATCAGTCTTAGAGGTTTCAATTGTTGTGCCATTGCAATCCTGATTATCAGCCGTATGGGTTTCAAATGTTTCGTCTCCGCAATCCCCAGTAATATGATGCTCAGATGGACCACCATTTCATCAGCTGGCTGGCATCGGTCGGTGACACTGCTAGCAATATAATCGTTGTCCGTGAAAAGTTCTTGTCAAAGGGAAAAATACCTGAGTTTTTGAAACCTGCTGTTATATTTTTGGGGGTCATAGATTTTTCAAACGCAACACCAACACATTCTATTTCATAAATTGAGATCGGACGGCCTGGAATCCTTTGCATCCCACGATTCAACTGCAGCATTATATTGGGTTTTGAATGGAAACCGAAAGATCTAAAGGCTGCAATTTGTGAGAGGTATGCGGTGGCAATGTCAAGATAATAACTCCATTTTTCTTTGCTAGGTCAAGAACATAAGCCGATAAATGGCTTTCATGGTTATCCATAATTAATAATGTGGGATTGTCTACACTACTCGAGGTATGATGTATAAAGAAATTCATGACTTCCATAAATAAATCCACTGTCATCTATCCTGATGGTTGTGCAAGGCCTAAGGTACCGAGATGAGCGCCGTGCAGCATGTGCTGTTTAAATTTCTTTCTTGGGAAAACCATAACTGGTGGAATAAAGCTTCCAGTTGCGTTCACAGTGCAGCAGGTGGTTACTAATATTCCAAGTTCACCGCTAGTTGCTGAGCTAACTTGTTTAATTCCCTTCTTTGTTTCAACTTTACGTGGTTTCTGAACAGTAGTGGTTGCGGTCTCGTCCAGGTTGTAGATGCGAGTCCCATCTGCAAAATGCTTTAAACGCTGATAGATCGAATCTAAATTGGCAAAAAGTTGGCCTACATTAGGCTTATTAAGTGAAGTAGCTCTGGAAAGGCTACAGCCTTCTGGTTGTCTTACACTCAACTCAGGGTTCGGTGATATAAAACCTAATAACCATTCCATCCCAGCCCGTTTATTAAATTTCCATTTTTCAGGAATGCTAACTTTATTTGCATCGACTACTTCGAAAGCAAGTATTTGCAAATCTTTTATAGTTTTGCCGTAGCACATTTTCGAACAAGTTATGGCGTATTCCGCAATAAGTTTCTCTTGTTCTGAGGTAAAATCTGCCGTAGCGATGAAACGTTTGAAATTTAATGCCTGTCCTTTCAGATGCTTGTCTTAAACTTAATTTTTCCTCAAGAACCATATACACAGCTGCCTTCATTTGGTCCTCTGTGAAAGAACCTTCTTTCGATTTTCGTTGTCTTCCACGCCATAGTTTTGACCCTAACATGGAATTAAAATGAAAAATTTTGTTTTACAATGAGACACCGTCTCATTGCAATATTAATTTAAAGATTAATCCCATGTTAAAGTAAAAATATAAATTCTATTTTCAGTAAATTGTGACCTACCCTGTAACTAATAATTTAAAGAATAGGTTTTACTGCAAACCCATTTTTTTTATATGCCGTGCTGCTTAGTTTAGATACTGTAGAAATAATTTGTTTACTCGGATCTCAGAGATGCCTCAAAGTTCAGTTCTGAGACATCTGCTTTTCATAAATTTCAATAATGGTATTACTAGCGACGATCGTAATAAAGTATTTCTGATCACTTAAAGATCATGGCCAAAATATGCAATAGAGTTTAGATGACATTTCTACTTATTTCATTTAAATTAATTTTGTACGCTGTTTTTGAAAAATAAACTAAAATTATATTGCTATGTATCGTTATTTTTGAAACTATTTCTAATTTGATTTGAACTGTGAATAAATAATTTGAGAATTTTAATCTTTTTCAGGTATCTATCTTTTTCATGTCACTTGCTATCCTAGAGATCAACACCAGCGTCGTACCGGTAGCACCACCCTTAAGATATACTCTCATAACACCTCAAAATATCCCACCATTTGCAGCCCAAGTTAGCACATTTACCAGAGGACTCAATGTTCTAGACGCACCTCTAGCAGCAGGAGTTTTAAATCCTCCTGCAATTGTTTCTAGAAATGTAGCTTTACCACCTCCAGTTGCATTTCCACCTGCAGCGGCTATATCAGCACCATTTGGAGTTTCTCCAGCTGTTTATCCATCTCAGTTAGCAGCTCCTACTCTACTAGCACCACAAGCTGCTTTTCCTGGACCGTTTCTACCTCACGCTCATTACCATGCAGCTCCAGCGGCTTTAGCAGGTCCAATAGGAGCTTTTCCAGGACCTCCAGCTCATGTATTACCTGTTCCAAATGCCAGATCTATACATGCTTTAGGGCCTGCTCCTTTGGCGCCTGCGCCTGTTGTGGAAGCGGGGATTTGGTAATGGACATTTGATTTAGAATCATTTTTATAGTGATATTGACTGAATTGAAAATGTTTATTTGGTCTATAATGACTTTTGTGATATATATTTTAAATATAAAAAATTGTTGAGTAATTTTGAATTTTTATTTAGAAAGGAAAACTATGAAATTAAATAATAAAACACAATTTATTTTATATAATAATTTATTTTCTATAATAAATAATATCTGTTGCTCATCTCATGCATTCATATTTTTTCTTTCATCATTCAGAAGTTGAGTATCATCAGTTATTTTTTATGTTCTAGTGTCCATAGCCTGCAACAAAATATCATCTGTTCAATATCAATCAGTAGTTTAAATTTAGATATATATTATACAGTTGATGTTAAAAATGGAACCAAATCTCTGTTGTTGTGATTTTTTATACACCTAGTATTTATTTAATACTCTATTTGCTCATTTAAAATTACTACTTGAATTGAGAGATACTTAAAGAATGGTGTGTTTGAATTTTTTAGTACACTTATTAATACCGTGATTCGTGCATGAAAATTTAACACGACAAACGAAGGAACCATCTTAGGATGTTTTGTAGTACACGCCAATCGTCTCTTCTTTCACACCGATTTAGAGGGAATTGAGAAAGGGGAGAATGTGTGTACCGACTAGAGTTGGAATCAGCTGTATTCAAATTATCAATTCGATCATCAATCATATCATGATTTCCGGAGGACTACTTGGTAAAGGTGACGAATAATTAACTCGGAGATACAGGTTCGCTTGGGCACACTTTTCTTTTTAGCTTTTTCAATTTTTCTTTGGTTTGTTTTTACCTTGGAGTTGAATATAATTTAAAAGAAACGGAGCAGAAGGCAGGAGACCAGGAATTGAAAGGCAGGAGTAAGAGTTTAAGGCAAGAGTAAGAGTTAAATGAAGGAGTAAGTTAAAGGCAGTACTAAGAATTAAAGGTAGACGTAAGAGTTAGAAGCAGGAGAACGAGATGTATAGAAAGTCAGAAGGTAAAGTAGACGGCAGGAGTATCAAAATAAAGAATCTTTAACCAATATTCCTTCTCTCGTCTTGATACCTATTTTTTGGATTTCGTTGTAACTGTGGGCCGTGTAGCCTTCCTTACCTCGATCTTTTTAAATCTATTGTGGATTACTTTATACTTATTAATAACGTTATTTTAAATTGACAATCTTACCTAAACCTATTCCTCCCCAAGGAGCAGCTACTCCATAAGAGATCGGTGCCGCAACTTTGGTTAAAATTGGAGCAGATACGACTTTGGTGACTACTGGAGCGGCAACTTTGGTTACTACAGCTGTGGGATTCAACGCCAACAAATTGTTATTTTGATAGGATTCAGCTCCGTGGGCTACGGCTATGGGCGCGTGTGCTACGGCTACTGGTTGAGCATATGCTATGGGGGCGTGAGCTACGGCTACGGGTGCGTGCGCTACAGCTAGGGGTCCTGCAGCTACAAGGCCGTGACCGTCTAAGCCTCCATACCCTCCTAGACCTTCTAGGCCTCCAAGTCCTCCTAAACCGATTACGCCTGCTTTAGTGGCGCAGATGAGCATCGCAAGTAAACACTGTAAAGAAAAATCAAGGATAACTCTAACAAATAGCGTTTTATAGTAAGACAGTAACTCAAAATCAATCCCATATAAAAATGCTTTATTAACGAAATGTTGTGATAACCGGTTTCGGCCTTAGGTCTAAGACTACAAAATATTTTCTGGTGGTGTGTGACTTCAACCAATCAGTTACCAATTTAAATATTGAACATATTGGGTCTATTGGTGTGGCATGATAAGGATTACAAATCTATCGAAGGCTAAGGTTATTCCCAACCTCTACACATATGTCTATTGCTGTTGTGACCTAGACTATTTTTATTTATTGACCTATTCTGTGAACTTGTTAATTCCTTTCCTACGTTTCGTTGATACCAGACTCAATTCTTTACCAACAAGATCTTTCATTGAGTTTATATTCTCTTTATTAACTGGAATAACTTACCTTTTCCTGTCACCTCTACAACATGGAATTCCTTCCAAATCTTTGTCCAAGTTTTATTATTATTATTATTATTACACACATCGCCAAAATTCTTGGACCCCCCCCTTATGTTTGTCAAAATGAGACATTAAAAGTCAAGAAGTGTGTTACATAGTACTTTTAATTTGGTTATGTGTCCAATACAAATTGGCTGAATAAAATAATGCATAATAAAATGAATTTGAAATCCAGACGAAAACCACTTTAGAGCAAAATCAAAAATTCATTAATATTCGGTGTGTCCTCCCCTGTTTTGTAGTAAGGTATTAACTCGCCTGTGCATGGAAACAATAAGGATGTTATTCCATTCTTCTTGGGCCGCGACTGTGAGTTCTTGGAGGATTAATTCTGTTTGAGATTGCTCTTCCAACGAAATCCCACATGAGCTCAATGGGATTCATATCTGGCGAATTTGCTGGCCACGGTAATCTTTGAATATTCTGAATTTTTAGTGCATTTTGTACTCTTCTTGGGCGATGGGGCCTAGCATCCATAAAAATAAAATTGGCTTCAATTTCATTTCGGAGACGATTTAATAATGTTTCGAACATATCTATCAGCTGTCATAGTGTCTGTAATAGGAATAAGCTGCGTACGACGACCAAGCATTTTGCCTCCCCAAAACATTATTGTTCCTCCTTGGTATGAAATGACTTCTCTATCAAAAGATAGTCTTTCTGGTAGCCCTGGCCCTCTCCAAGCTCTGTATTGCCGACTATCACTAATTAAACCAAAGCTGGTTTCGTCCGAAAAAAAAACATTTCGCCACTGAGCTAAAGCCAGCCTCTGTGTTCCTGTGCCCACTGTAGACGAGCAGCTATTTGTCTGGGCAGTAACCTGGGTACTATTAATGGTCTCCTAGATCGTAAATTAGCTCCAGCAAGTCTCCGCCGTATTGTGATACTCGAAATGAATCGACCATACGTTCTTCTAAAATGAGTTCAGACAGCTGAGACTTTTACGGTTCGATTTCGACGTACATAACCTGCTATATACCGATCTAATCTTGGATTAGTTACCCTAGGACGCGCAGTCCCACGTCTCCAGTCAACGCTGTTAGTTTCCTGGTACAAACGCACTCTAAACGAATCCCTAGTCTATCTGCGATTCGATGATTCGGCAGACCCTCATCATGCAAAAGCCACTATTCTTGCTCTATTGAACACTGAAATTCTATGGCCATGCATAGTTGCAAAGAAAAACTCGACAATGGCTGCGTTCATCCGCGCCACATGCTACCTGATCGATCTGGTAGCGCTCTCGAGTGGCACGTATGAACGGTGTATTTTTACATTTCGCTCAAGGAGCGGCCGCCATTAAAAGTAGCGCATTTTATTTACGTCTGATCGGTGATCACTGATCTGTCTTATGCACTTACGTCCACGGTTTGCTTGGTGACTAGTAGGGTTATATTAGCATATTAGCAATTGAAAAATAAACAAACAAATCTTCAACCAGAGACATTCAACTCAAAAGTAAAATGAATAAACCAAAATCAAATGTCACTTTTAAACATGGTTCATCCGTGCATAAAGATCGATCAGGTAGCGTAAGTGATCGCTACTTTTGTAGCGCTCCTTGAAATGGCGCGGATGAACGCAGCCATTCACTTAATCACGCAAAATCAATATGAACCACTTTTCAAACATTGGTATCTAAAGTTGTGGGAAATTGTTTTTGTAAACATTTTTAGATGCGTATCAACGGTGAAATAAATAAAGATTAAATGTACAAAAAGCAGCCATGATAAATATTTCGTTTTAATATTTACGAGGGCAGTCCAAGAATTTTGGCGATGTGTGTATTTAGGTCCAAACATTGCTTTTTCCAAACAATAAAAATCGTACTGATCCATATTTTTGTACTTTATTAGAAACAATACGGCTTTATCAACGGTAGCTACTTCGATTATGTGGTTTTTTTAAAAGTTCCGCAATAATTACCTAAATTGGCCCATAAGCTTATAAAAGTTTTGCGGTCAAGTAATAGTATGTGTGCAAAACGTACCTGACAGATTTTAAAGCATTTATCGATACTCTCCATGCATTAAATTCATGTTTAATTAATCTTGATTTGTGTGAAAAACAATTGTCGATAATAACAATAACGATAAAAACACAAACGATAATAACAACTGAACGAATATATTTCATATCCATTCTACCTAGTAAGAACACGGCAAAAAAAATGAAATTTACCAAGTATTTTGTATTTTGTTTTTTTAAATTTTAAATAAGTGACAACGCATTACCTCGAACTAACATTTCCACTGAAAATTATATTCTATCGTTTAAAACATTTTGCCCTATCCACTTTATAAGGAAAGTATTGCAATTTTTGAACAAAACATGGGTAAATATTGGTCCTATTATAGAGTAAAATGGATTATTCTATGTACTTGTGAATTGTTTTTTTTTTTTTCATCCCTTGAAAAATGTTGATTTTGTGAATTACGGGGTCCTGCCTTGTGGCCCTCGAATTCTGTCAAACTAATTATTAGTATATTTTTTAGTTATTGAGATTAAATATCAATTAAAATGGGTTATTTTTGTGTTGAATTGATAAATAATAAAATTGCTATTATTATTTCGTCTATATTACAAATAAACCATACATTTTAATAAAACTATATGAAATCAATTTAATTACAAATATTAAAACTAAAATATTATGTGTCATGATGGAGCAGTGAGTAGATCATTTGGCTTTCATACAGAGGTCCCGGGTTCAATTATTGATTGGAGACTAATTAAATTAAATATTTTTTTTTCTTCAAGTTTCTTTTATTGTATAAATTAGTAAAAGTCACAAATTATTTTTAAATTAATTATTTTATCATAATAACCTAAAATATTTATTAAAATGTTTAGATATTCTTTAGTGGGTCGTAGAAAAAATATACTGTACAACATGAGTGGATATGTTCATCATATTCACCCTTGTTGTTGAAAAAACTACTATTTCTTATTTCTAAGTTAAGTCATATATAGTAATTTGTGCAACAAGATTGGATATGGACAATCCACTCGAGATGTACAGTATATTTTTTCTATGACCCACT